CTAGAATTCTATTTTCTCATTTTAATTTTCAGTATGTTGTTCGATTTTATTACAATGAAATAAAACCATGTCTTATGTTTTGATAAATTGTGATGAGTTAGCAAGAATATTAGTTTTGAAGGCACTCAAAGTCTCCAGATTTACAATTCCTCAACCTACCACACAAACCATCTACACAGTCTCCTAACCTGCTGAATTTGAGAAAACAGAGGAGGTGCGGAATGCACCCTGCACAGGAAAACCTTTCCTATGAAACATTCTAGACTATGTTGTTTAATACTTGCAGTGCCCTTTCAATGTTTCTTAATGAATATGCTAATGTAAATAGGATGCTTTGTCTTGAGCTGTAAAAGGATGTTTCCTGTCCTGACTGCCTGGGACAGGAAATAACCAATTCAGAGGCTGAATATGAATGATAAATGCTTGGCCAATAACTCAGGCTTGTTACTAGCTAATTCTTACATTTAAATTAACCCATTTCTATTAATCTATGTATTGCCATATGGCTCATGGCTTTGTATGTCCTCTAGCATGTCTTGCTTCCTGGGCAGTTTGCTAGCGTCTCTCCTGATTCCGCCCTCCTTCTTCCCATCATTCTCAGTTTGTCTTTCCTGCCTGCCTAACTTCCTCCCCCACTACCATCCTGTCAGCTTTTCATTAACCAATGAGAGTAATACATATCTATAGTGTAGAAAAGGATTGTTCTACAGCATTGACCATTAAAACTACCAGGGACAGCTATGAGTGCAGTCTAAAACTTACATGAAAACCTCATTTCCACTACGTTCTGAGTTGAGACACAACTTGGAAGAGGTAAATAAAGTTCAAAAGTATACTCAAGACTTTGAAATTAATAAACTAAAAGTCGCTTTTGAGGTATCAGCTAAGAATTCACACCACATTCACAGGAAGCCACCCCTTCCAAGGGGTTTTGTAATTTTCCTAGTTAATGAGAGAGTCTACATTAATGGACAGATGGAGCATTCAGTTGGAATTCAGGGATCTTAGGTTGTAGCTGGATTCATCTATGGTTTCCTCCACTACTTTCAGCACTGTCCACTCCTGTGTCTCTCTCTCTCCATATCTTTTAAAATGGGATAACTGGAATAATGGGATAATGAACTGGGAATGTTGTTCAATGGTAGAACAGCTGCTCAACATTCATGAGGAACCGAGTTGAATTCTACTACCTCAAAACAACAAGATTAAAAATTTCAAGTTTTACTGAAGACACCTTATGCTGGAGAGGATGTGGAGCTAGGGGAACTCTCCTCCACTGCTGGTGGGAATGCAAGCTTGTACAACCACTTTGGAAATCAATATGGTGCTTTCTTAGAAAATTGGGAATCCATCTCCCCCAAGATCCAGCTATACCACTCTTGGGCATATACCCAAGGAATGCTCAACCACATCATAAGAGCACTTGTTCAGCTATGTTCATATCAGCATTGTTTGTAATAGCCAGAACATGGAAACAACCTAGATGCCCTTCAACTGAAGAATGGATAAACAAAATGTGGTACATATACACAATGGAATACCACTCAGCAGAGAAAAACAATGATATCATGAGGTTTACAGGCAAATGGATGGATCTAGAAAAAATCATCCTGAGTGAGGTAACCCAGACTCAGAAACACAAACATGGTATGTACTCACTCATAGCAGGATACTAGATGTGGAACAAGGATGACTGGACTGCTACTCACATCACCAGGGAGGCTACCTGGAAAACAGGACCCCAAGAAAGACATGGGGATCTCCCAATGACAGAGAAATGGAATGAGATCTACATGAACAGCCTGGACATGAGTGGCTGTAGTGAAGGGCGAGGGTCGAGGGAAAGAGAGCTTGGGGGAGTGGGAGATCCCAGCTGGATCAACAACAGAGAGGGAGAACAAGGAATAGGAGACCATGGTAAATGAAGACCACATGAGAATAGGAAGAAGCAAAGTGCTGGAGAGGCCCACGGAAATCCACAGGGTTGCCCCCACAACAGACTGCTGGCAATGGTCGAGAGACAGCCCGAACTGACCTACTCTGGTGATGGGATGGCCAAACACCCCAATGGTTGTGCTGGAAACCTCATCCAACTACTGAGGGATCTGGATACAGAGATCCATGACTGGGCCCCGGGTGGAGCTCTGGGAGTCCAATTGGCGAGAATGAGGAGGGTTTATATGAGCGAGAATTGTTGAGACCAAGGTTGGATGGGGCACAGGGACAAATAGCCAGACGAGTGGAAGCGCATGAACTGTGAACCAATGGCTGAGGGGTCACCAACTGGATCAGGCCCTCTGAGTGGGTGAGACAGTTGATTGGCCTGATCTGTTTGGGAGGCATCCAGGCAGTGGGACCGGGTCCTGTGCTCATTGCATGGGTCGGCTGTTTGAAACCTGGGGCCTATGCAGGATCGCTTGGCTCGGCCTGGGAGGAGGGGACTGGGCCTACCTGGACTGAGTCTACCAGGTTGATCTCAGTCTGTGGGGAGGGCTTTGCCCTGGAGGAGATGGGAATGGGGGGCGGGCTGGGAGAGGGTGAGGGGAGCGGGAGGGGGGAGAACAAGGGAATCCGTGGCTGATATGTGGAACTGAATTGTATTGCAAAAAAAAAAAAAAAAAAAAAAAAAAAAAAAAAAAAAAAAAAATTTTCAAGTTTTGTCTATGATCTTGTATGATCTTTATTTAAAATCATTTTATTACATTTGATTGATTGCATGTATTGATAGGTATGTATATGCCACAGCCTGGTGCCAGTCCTGGTCTGTCTACCATAGGAAACCTGGGGATCAACTCAAGTCATCAGGCTTGGAGGCAGGCTCCTTTCCTTTCATATTGATGTGTCCCATTGGAACTTAGCTTTACCTTTTATGCTTTCAACTCACTCAGCTCACATATACTTTGGAATCCCACCATAAAGCCTAACGCCAGATAAAAATATGCATTCAGTAAATCCTTTAAAACCATGCAGAAACATAGTCTTGGACTAGGATATAAATCCCCTTCAAAATTTACCACTCAGGAGCTCTGAAACAAGCCCCCTTTCTTAAATAATAAACATGAGATGCCATTTTAGAATACAGAACTCCTTGAAACACTGAGCAAATTGTTGCATTCTGCTAGGGTAACCTTTCCCTAGATGCAGAGCTTGACCTTCATGTAGGAGGCACCAACAGCAGAGCACATATGGACTTCCTGGATTCTCACTCCCCTCTCTTGGCTGGGCCCTGTGGCTTCTGATTCATTCCTGCATTAGAGAGAAGCAGAATGGGCTTGAAGATAGAGAAAGATGGTAGCTCTGAGGTGCAGGGGATCCTTGTCATAGGAATATCATTGGGGGGAGGACAGGAAAGGGGTTTTCTGCACAGCTCCCATGTTCTGTATTTAGAATATGTCATAGAATTATGACACCATTCTTATTTACTCATCATCCCCTATCCCATTTGACAGTAGAAATATGTTTTTCAGTCATATTGAATATGGTCTTTTGGATAAGTCTGAGCTCTCTGAAATGAGAGCCAATAAATTCCATGGGCACAGGCGTGAGATTAGAGGCTTATGAACATTTCTCTCAGCTCACCAAATTTCTTTCTATATGGAAAGTATAAGGAGCTCCATAAAATTCATGGGGCTCATGGTTTTCCTTGTGGGAATGTAAAATTAACTTGGACTACTTTTTTTTTTATGAGATCAAATGTATATAGCTAGACTTACCTGATTTTTTCACTCTATGGAAAAAAATTGGCTTCCTGTTAATTGCATGTGTAGTCTCATAGCTCTTTAAAGAATCTTTCATAAGTGATATTAATAGTAATGGTAGATTTTTTATTAATAATACATAATAACAATAGCTCTCATTAAAACAACATCAGTTAAGTGATTATAGAAATGTTTAGAGTTGTGGTTAGAAAATGGTCCTGTAGACATCAACCCTGCTGAAGTCATTTATTTTTTTCTTATCAAATAGAGACAGCTATAATGACCGATTAAGAGCTTAATAAAATTCTGCCCTAATTGCATAACTGGGAACTGGGGGTTTTGTTTGTGGGAATGTCCTTGGTGGTATCTTATGATGAGGTTTCCCCAGGAGAAAGAGCAGAAAACAAAGGATCATTTGCAAGCTGCTCCTAAGTGCACCATGGTTTTCTTTTTTCTTCCTGCACTGCAGTTACCATCAGTAGTGGAAATGAGCAGGCTCCTGTCTTTTAGTCCCAGCTTTGTTATCCAATGCCAAGTGACCCTATGACAATGTTTTTGAGGTTTGGTTTCTCAATTGTGTCCAGTGAGGATTATGACTACTTGGTAGAAATTTTATTTTGATTATGGAAAAACAATACTAGCTAGTGTTCTACCGAGTTGCCCTCTGAGACTCCCTGGCCATTCTCACCTTTGTCCCAAGGCTCTCATTTCCAGGGTTATTACTCTGCTTATGTTGTGCTTATGCAACTTCTCAGGCACAGGGAAGCTTCCTATGGGCATACAGGCTAAGCTTAGAGTACCCACACTCCACCCACTTCTCTGCTTTCTCTTTCTGTCTACCTCCAGACAACTGATGATAAGCAAGATCAATAAATTCATCCTAAGCAGAATGCTGGGAAAGCCAGGCTAGCTCTTGATTCTTTCTTCCCGATTACTTTCTTCCTTATATATGAACATATATTAAAATAGGTATGAAACCATATATACAGTAAGAAGTACAGATGTTAAAATTCCAGAATGATCAATACAAGGTAGAGGGTCATGATGAGAAACACACTAAGAAAAGTGTGGTAGAAAGTTTACTGAAATTCAGGATGAAAATTTTAAGCCCTGAGCTTCTAGGCAGAGAAAACAAAGTGGGGAGCAATGAAAGTATTTAGGGGAGATGAAGTACCTAAATGTAACTCTTAAGAAAGAAAATTATATATATTATGTATATATATAATATGAAATGATATATAATATAAAATTATATATATTCATATTCCTAGGTGTATAAATTAGAAAGTTAATAATATTATTATATTCTAAGTGAAACTGAGTCTTCATACAGCTTTATCAAAAAGTATTAAGCACTAATAAAATATGAGCTGACCTAATTTATATTGAGGCTCTTGGGAAATTTGCAGTTTTACAGTGCTCTCTGATCTTAACCCTCACAAAGTCAGCATCTATGTGGTCAGGCAGGAAGGAGGCTGACCTAGTGGGCAGCAATCAGAATACTTGTTTTGCACTTGCTTTGGCTTGCCATGTGTATCCCCCCGCCCCCACTCCTGGATGCAGTGTGCCTTTGGTGAGTCTACTCTCTGTGACCTCTGGTATTTGGAATGAAGATTCATAAATGGAGATAAGAGTCTTGGAGAGAATGGTCCAGAATCTATTTGTCTTCAGCTAAGCTTCAGCTTTCATTTATAACTTCCGTTGGGAGGAGAAAGCAGGTATTGTCTCTCAAAAATATATTTGAAAGGAAGCTTCATTAATCATCACATGGCCATTTCTTAGCCTTAGTCCCTAAGGTCTGGTAAGCTTTAAATCCCTAGTGACACCTGCTGGGCAGACCTCTGCCCTCGCTGCAGCATTCCATCAGCCTGCCTCTTCTTTAACATGCAAAGCTGCTGGCCAGGAGGTGCGGGGCTGGCTGCAGCCTCCTCAGCTGCTGGCCAGTCTGCTCACTGCTCATGCAGGTGACCCTTGCCTGGGAAGCAGACTCTTAGGGGCCTTGACTTCCTACCTGCCTAGGCCTCAGGAGTCAAACACAGAGCTAGTAAGGCGAGGATGGAAAGGAGTGCTGGGTAGGGGAGAGAGAGAGAGAGAGAGAGACAGACAGACAGACAGACAGACAGACAGACAGACAGACAGACACAGAGAGAAGAGAAAGATCCAACATTAGATACCCGCTAGCCCAGCCCTAAGTTACTCAGCTGCTTCTTTGTCTGTAAACTCTGGGGTGAGCGATGCCACTTCAGCCGTATGTTTTGTTCAAGCACAAACCAAATTATGCTATGCTTGCGTCTATCTGAACATATTGGTTTATCTTACATAGAGTTTAATTGATGCAAACTTGAACTTCAGTATGTTAGATTTTCAGGGAAAACACCATCCTGCAATTTAGATTGCTATGTTTTTCTCTGAACAAAGAAAAAAAAAAAAGAGCAAGGCAATTAGAACCCTGCTTCCTTTATTTCGGCCACACTCTCCAACCACTACAAAAAATCATGTTTAACCTCTTGTAGAGTGACTTCTCCTGTCCTTTCCTGTCCAATGGCAAAATTTCTCTCTGAGCCAACAACATCTGCATCCTTGGACAGATGTACTTATGTGCAAAGTCCGTGTGAGCTGATCAAGCACGGCTTTGTTTGCACTTATTCACTGCTCACCCAGCACTGTGTAAGTGGTTTTGCATATTAACTAAGTGCACAGTAACCTTTCTTTACCTCCTTAGAGCTCCACCCCCTCCCACCCGCCGGGGAAATCAACACTGTTACTCGCTGAGGAAGCTGCCAAGAGGTTGCCATGGCAACGGTTCAGCTTTCAGCAGCTACTTTTCTGGTTTGAAGGGGAGGGAGAGAGGAGGAGAAAGAAAGCACCACACACCCAACAAACTGAGGAGAACTAGGCAGTTTTCTGATCAGAGTTCAGATAAGGAAGGTCACAGACATTTGTGGGCACTGACTAAAATAACCCCACGGATGGGAGAGTTACCACATAAGAAGCAAACTAAAAAGGTAAGTGCGAGTCCAAGGCAATAATTAAGTTATTCAGTAGTGGTCACAAGCCGAAGCATTTCGAATTTTATCAGCCTGTGTCATCTGAGATGTTATCTCATGAGTCTTTTCGTTTTCATCCTGAGCCAAACAACGATAATTTTTATGGGATTCCAAACGTCAGTGAAGCAGTGCAGGAGGGTAAACCAGCCCCAGAGGGGGGACGCTCACATCTGAAAGTCATTTTCCAGAACTTCAGTCAACGCAGGAACAATGCGGCATTGAGGCATAAGGAGCTGGAACTATGTGTAGTACCAGGTCAAAACACAGCCTCCCAGCTCCTCTCCGTGGGGTGGCTGGCTAGGCGTGCCAGGAGTCAGTCTGATTTCAAAGGTCGGGCTGGGCAGGGTTAGGCAGGAAAGCGGCAGAGTCAAGAAATTCAAGTTAAGAAACCTGATGCCGGTGGGTTGCAGAGACACACATAGCGTCTCTAACCAGAGTCCAGACTCCCAGTTCCTCAGCAGAGTAACTCACAGCTCAAGATGACTCTTGGCAGAGAGCGGGAGGGTGGGGCAAGGCTGGGCCCTGAGCACTAGGGTGGAAGGACTTGGAAACTGTGCCTCATTCTTTTTGCTCTTCTGTCTGTCTGTCTCTCTGTAACACCTGCTCCCGCTAGCCAGCAAGCTTCCCAGCATCCTCGGCATTCAACCTTCTCCTGCGTTATTGAGCCCCTTTAAGAAACAACATAGGAAAACATCCTGCAGTAGCCATTCTAACAGCTACCCCCTGAATCTTGGATATGTTTTTCAAAACTTAGCCGCAGCTACAGCATCCAGATACATTTAAAGGAACCAATTATAACATAGAGAAAAGAATAAAACAAAACAAAACAAAAAACGCGGATGGGGCTGGGCTGTGAGCGAATGGAAATTCAATACCATTCCCCCCTGCCACACACACACATACACATACACACACACACACACACACACACACACACACACACACACACACACACACACGGGGTGGGGGTGGGGGTGGGGGGATGCTGTCACTAACACTTGTTTTCTTTTATATTTTATTTAATTTTTAGGCTTTTTTTAAAAAATGCAGCCCTGGCAGAGTAGTGCAGAAGCACTGAACTCTCAGATGCTAGGACCTGTTAAAGGAGTTATCATTCAGTACCACGATAAGGTATCATATGTTTGACCAAATGCTAGCTAGTTCTTTGCAGGCACCAGCTTGTGTTCTATCTTCGCCAAACTTCCACTTTCTGTGGACGTGCATTTCTGAGTTGATTCTGACAAGCAGAAAGTGGTTAGGGTAGGAAAGAAGAGGTGGAGAGGGCCAGGAAAGAAATGTCCGTAAATATGGAAAACATGCAATGACTGAAGCCACTATTCTTCAAGGTGGAGTTCAAAAGTTTACATGATGTCTAAGATGAAAGTTCTTCACAGATGACAAGGGACCATGAGACAGAAGTGTGAAAATGTAAAAAGAAAAGAAAAGAAAAGAACCAGGAACCTATAGCATTTATTCTGGCAAAGTTGTGCAAAGTTCTAAAGACTAAGAAGAACAATAGGTAATGTCAGAAATCTAGCCTCAATGCTGGACGTTGCCCTGTGAAGCTGGAAGGAAGTTCTAAGAGGTAAAGACAGAGTGTAGCCTCCCCTGTGTCACTGATGGAGCTAGAGGCCCCGTCCTCCATAGCATCCCAGGCTACAGAACGATAGTTCCTCAGCCTACAGTAAATGTGATGAGATTATCTTATCAGCCTTGTTCTCCTGAGTATTTCTACAATTGCAGAAAACCATCTGTTAATATGACCTGTCTGCTAGACCCCCACACAGTGCAGGGCATGGATATTAGTATTCAAAGACATTCCTCCCTCAAATGATCTGTTGGAGGCCTACCAAGTTCAGTCTCTGCAGCCAGTTGAGGCCAGGAATGAGACATGGAGAAATAATAAAGAGGAAGGAATGAGAGAGAGCAAAGAGAAAACTCAGAAATTTGTTGTAACTCAGCCACAGATTCTTTCAACTGACCTGATCTAATTCCAGCAGCGACTCTGTCTGTGAAGCCCTGCCACAGCTGAATTTATTTTTGTTTTGCCTGCTCAAAGGCAGTGTACAGAGAATGCAAGAGCACATCACCTTCAGGGAAAGGACTGCAGAGTGTATTACTCACCGCCTCCGCCCCCCCCCAACCCCGTGTGGAAAGGTTAATTTGAATAAGGCTGCTGCTTCCACAAATAGAACAGTAACGGCACACAGAGGGATGGCCAATGAGAATGGCTTCCAGTGATGTCATACTTATACCTGCTTCTTATTATTTGCTGAATGGTAACAATGTGTTCCTTGAATCTCACATTTCATTGGTTAAGATCGCTGCCATTCTGAGTACTTCTGGAGAGTTTTACGCACTGCAGTTTCTTTACATGCTCAGAATTTTTTTCTTTCAGTTTTTGTACCCCCCATCAACTGCTGGAGAGTGACCATTTTAAACATTTGTTCTGAAAGCAAATATAGCAGACTTTGTAGTTCAAACCTGACTTATGGGGTCTATGATACTAGATCCATTTAACCAGCAGGAACAGGGTAAGAAAGGATGCTTCATTGGCGTGCCAACTGAAAGAATACCTTGCCTCAGTACTGTCCCATCAGTCTATCAGAAAACAAACTTTCGAGTTTATTTTACAATGTAATCTTCCACAGAGCAGAGCTTTCTTCAAAGAACTAGGTATAAACTTCCCTTCTGTGTGAGATTGGGGTCACTGGAGAAAGCGAGACCTACATGGTTTATTTTTGTACTAAGTAGCTTCGATTTTTAAATCAATTAAGTTTTATATCATTAAAACTTGTGCCTCAGGTCACTCAGGTCACCTGGGCTTTTTCGGGGAAACCCCTTTCAAAGAAGCTTGGGAAAACCACAGAACCTTGAAGAGAAGGTAAATTGGTTGTTCATGACTGAGGCATTAACCAACCTGCTCGAGGAATGAGAGGCACTCTCTGGTCAGCCTGAGACACAAGTATGACGGGGAGACCAGAGGTAAATGTTGACATACCAAAGTCTTGGCCGGCGTTGGTGGTGGTGAAGGAGGTGCAGGGCAGGTCTCTCCAGGCAAAGTCAGATCCTCAGAGAAGAGAAGACAAAGGCAAGCTGTCCACACTCAGCTGCTACAGCAGAGCGCAGACACAGAGGTTAATCCATTGTCCTGCCAGGGCAGCGTATTAAATGCTCCAGTGAGGAGGCCAGGGCACTAAAGGACCAGTTAGCTTCTAATAGGCACAAAGCAAGGCAAGGCATCCTTCGGGAGGAGGAGAGAATTCTTTGAGGATGCCTGCAGCAGACATCCCTGACTGGATATATGTATTTTTGAGAGAAATGTTGGAAAAAAAAAACAGGTGCACAAATTAGTAAAAATGATTCAAATTAGGAAGAACTAGAAAATACCAAGTGTTTTGATTAGGTTTGCTATGTCTGCCTGCAAGCTTGTCTATTTGAATACTCGGTCCCCAAATATTGCTGTACTGGGAGACTGTCGAGCCTTTGTGGTGTGGTGTCCAGCTGGCAGACACAGGCTGATGATGTCCACAGGCCTTTGAAGGTTATCTTCACCTCTGGTTTTAGTCTGGCCCTGCATTCGAGTGAGGTATGTGAAGATGTCATACCATAAGCTCTTATCATGGAGAAAAGAGCTGCCTCAGCTCCCAGACCTTCCTGCTGTTAGCGACTGTACCCCTGAAGCTGTGAGCCAAAATCAAGCTTTTTTTTCAAGCGTTCTGCCTCAGTCACAAGAGACATAACTAGCAGACAAAGCATGTTGAACATCTCCATCTCCACTAAGTAGCTAACATCAAGGAGTTTTGAAAACTGAAGGATTTATAGCTACGAACACCATCACTCACTGCCTTCAGAGTCTGGTGAGAGGTTCTCTGGATGGCAGAACATTGTGATTTTCACTGATGACACCACCCCTACACCTAAAGCTCAGGGATTATCACAGAGGAACGATTGGGGAGAGCCAGAGGACCGTGACATCTGCTTTACAATTGTGTCTTCTAGATATGGTTGCGAAGCTGTACCTCTGAAATCACAAACATAGGGTTGCCTAAGTAAGCTATGTACAAACGAGAACATCAGTTGACAGTCAAAGACGGATGGGGAACTTGCCCAAGCTTCACCCTTAGATGAAGAGCTACTAATGACTCCTGAGAGAGGTAAATTCAGTCTTCCCCAGGGACAAGCCTCCTGATAGGTTGTTCAGTCCCATGTGGTCAGTCCCACACACATTCACATAGTAACAAACCAAATGGATGCAGACAGTGTTTACACACACACACACACACACACACACACACACACACACACACTCACACACACCCCACATCAACAAAGAGAAAGCCATGCATTTGAGAAAGATTTGTGGGGAATCATGGAGTTGAAGGAGGAAGAAGGGAGAAAATGATGTAAATATAGTTCTCATGTATGTTATTCTAAAAAAAAAAACCTCTTAATATGATCTTGAACTAAGTGTGTAAGCATTTTGTTGAAAAAATTGCATCTGTGTTCATCATAAACATTTCTCTGTAGTTTTGAGGGTGTGTTGATGTGTGCAATCTTTGCTTTTGTCTTTTCAGAATGAGTTTGGTAGTATTCCTTCTATTACTTCGATTAATTTCTGGAACAGTTTGAGAAGAATGAAGTCAGAGTCCCCTTCTCACCCTCACAAAAATCAAGTCAAAACGTATCAAACACATAATTTTAGCACTTGAAACATGGGTGTCGGGAGCAGGAGGTATCGGATGGTGGGAGGATGGAGGGGGAGGACTGGGAGAGACAGCTGGAATTGGGGGTCATCTCAGGGATAAACTAGAAATTTAGTGCAATGGAAACTTCCTGGAATCTACAAGGATGACCCTAGCTAAGACTCCTAGAAATGAGGGATACAGAGCCTGAGCCGGCCATCTCTTGTAACCAGGCAAGATTTCCTGTGGAGGGACTGGGACACCAAACCAGGC